ATTAAATTTGAAACTTTTTATTCAAGAGGGGAAATTCGGAACCTTGAAAATTAGTGTCTATTGTGGCCCGCAAGGACTCTCCACCTACGCGATGTGGCCCTTGGCCAAAAAATATTAAAAACTTGTTCCTTCCACTTATGAGTTGGGCAGCACTTAATTGCAAGGTACTCTTCAGGAAAAAATACATTTCACGCGAAGATATTTCGGCATAATGAAACACATCCAGGAATGGATTATGCGGGGACCCATTGTACAGTAAATGGAAATAACCATCCTTTTTCGATATGCAAGTCGCAGTATTTCAATGAATCTTTTCGTATAGTCATAACTCAGCCGAATATAAACCGACAATCGCGGGAAGTTTTCGTATGAAAAAAAGAATGCGTCATGATTCAACTACAATGCGCTGGAAATCCCACACACACAAAAATTCCTAAACCTGAAGCCAATGAAGTTATGAATTCAGAAATGAAAAAAGCCACTTGAACCAAAGGTCAAAAAAGAATTTGAACCGCATTCGGAACTTGGAAGGACCCAAACATTGAACCTCAGTCATAACTCGCCGAAAAGCTCAAATTAAACTGTTTTGCCTGAGACCTCAAAATCCGAAAGAGGATCTGAAAATAAACTTGCTGGAGAACTCGGGACTGGTACTCAAATAAAATCCTGGAATTTTCTCAAACCCCACACCAGATCTTCAACAAACACAAGTAGAACTTACGAAACAATTACAGCATCGTATAACCAAAACAAGAACTTGAATGGAGGGAACTCACACCCGGGTTAGAATGAGGAAAAGCTCACTCGATTTTCCAAGCAATGCCGGTTGGCTTTTCACCAGGTACAAAATCATAGTCGACTACCAAAAGGCGATTATGAAGTATAACTTCATAAAGCCCGAGTCCTGAGGGTCATCATTCTTGGAACTGGCCCAGTATCACCGCCAACAATGCACAAAAGAGACGCGAAGAGCACAAGAAGATCAAAGCGTTAATAACCCGAACATCACGTATCCCTGGTAGACTCAGAACATCTAATAAACCCTCAAAGATGCTAGTGCAGTCGCCCGGTGAAAGGAACCCGCCGGCGAAGAAATACAGTCAACGAGTAGACGACAGTCTTCCATATACTGTACAGGGAAACCCGACAATATACGAGGTATCTCGTGCGGGTTCATAAAAACAGCGTCTTCCCGAGATGCGGACAGGAAAGAAAAAAACTCATTCATCGTGGACGGAAAATAGTTTATTCCTCGGAGAGTCTTCCGCGACTGACGAGTAGCTACAGTGCAATGAAGCACGAAAACTGTAAAAAAAAAATTTCATCATAAGATTACTCTAATTTCTCATAAAAACAAGCTAATTTCGTGCGTCTTTTTCCATCATGTGCACACAGCATAACTAGACTTGTTCTTGTTCTTTGCTTCTTCAGCTCCTTCTGATGCCAAAAGATCAGAATCTGTGTGGTTTTCTTCTGCATAGTTATTTTCTGTGTCTCAAAGTTGAGGGAAAAAATGTTGTTCAATTTTTTGGGGGACTTGAATCCTAATTTTCGATGAACAGGCGAACCAGTTGAATACGTTCCCATTAAAGTCTTTGTGAAAACGTGATTCGACACATGCATGCTCCTACCTCGGGACAAGGCCCAAGCACCAATTACGTCCGCATCTCGGGGCCCCCCTAGTCGCCTTCTATTCCAGAAAACCAAGATGTGAAGAGCATAAGACCACCCACGAGGAAGTGCGTCGGCATCGGCAAATCGAATCGCGTACTGTAGAGACAGTTTTAGCTTTTGCAATTGCTTGAACGTCGGGAGTGAGACGCAATATTAACCGGAATTTACGACTCTCACAAGTCACTGAACCGGCTCTTCAACGGCACTTGGATTCACTTGCTCACCGTCTAATAACCAGTAAAATCTCACTCAAAGTGCGCTAAATAAACTTATTGACCTTAATTAAGTTTTCGAGATGCACCGACGGCATATTTCACAGACACGCTCATTCAGTATCGCGAGGAATGAAATACGCAGTGAAATGCTTTTAAAAAACGATGAATTGAAACTAGAAAATACGGCAATTTGTATTTCAAGACGAAGTTTTCGTTTAATAAGGGAAATGAGAGCAGATTTCAACTTCAGGCTTTCAACCTCCATCAATTTCAATTTTTATGAATAATTACGGTCAACCCTTGATTTAGTGTCCCTCGATTTAGTGTCCCTCGATTTAGTGCCACCCTCGCATAGTGACACAAATTTCCCTGGAACAAACATCTCTCCATTTTGCTATACAAGGAACCCCTGATTAAGTGCGAACTCACTTTGTACCATTAAAATGTCCTGTCCTGGATGAAAAATAGGCCAACATCAGGGGAATTAAGGCATATTACTTGAGATATAATTAGTTTAATACTGAGAATCACACCCCCATGCTAATATTTGTCACTTTCATATTACACATATTACTAGCCACAACACGTGTAAAAAGTAACATACAGCATTCTGTCTTTTTGAATACAGATGAACCTTGATATGTCAAACCTCCCAAAGTCGAATACCTCTCCAATTCGAACTTCTCGTAAGCCCCTCTGAATTCCCTTAGAAACAATGCATGAATAACCTCCATAACTCAAGGGCTTTTCCTCTCAAACCACCGTAAGTGGAATTTTTTTTAGGCCTATTGGCTATTATTTTTTTTGGCACATGAAAAATAATACTGTAGCAATATAACAAGCAACTAAATATTTTTTGAAAGGAAGTGACGGAAAAATTGGGCAAATGAACCCCTACCACCAATTTCAGCATTGCATCGCAAACTCATTTAAGCAGCAATTTAAAGGCTCATAATATCACCATTTACAATTTCCTGCAAGTCTTCTACATTTCCCACACCAAAAATGCTTGTTTCCCTAACTCAAAATAGTCAAAACATCCCAACATAGGAACCTCACTAAATCGAAAACTGACTGAGTCGAATTTTGTTCGCTGGTCGCTTGAAATTCCACTTGGCGAGGTTCGACTTCGAAAGGCAGTACAAAAACAATACACCTGATCTTCAAATTATTTCACGTGGCTCTCTCTCTCTCTCACAAAACAGACTCAGCGGCCTAATAATTCAGCTAAAAAGCTCACTTTGCTTACAGTGAACACCCACAAGTGAACCTTTCTTTGGTACAGTACAATGCCCTCGATTTAGTACCGCCACACTAGCTTAGTGCCACAAAATGTGCCAGAACAAAGGACGGCATTAAAGCAAAGTTTGACTACTTCGCAAAGATGGAGACCAGTTGTTGCGCAGCGTTTTACGAAAACGCCCTTGTGAAACTGTATGATCAAACCTTCGCTCAAGCTTTTAATATTTTCCTCTTAAATACACTCCGGTGCAACGATTTGCGAAACTTTCACGTTGTGGGCACATACTTCGCTACGCAGGAGCCGATTTGAACCAATTTTTTTCAACAAGTAGCTATCGCCTATCATTCATGTACATGTAAATTACGACTGGATGATCTCCAGACTGAATAATGGGACTGCTCAGAAAGCCTCTTTTCTGAGATAATCTCTTCCCAACCGAACGATCAGTCTTGAGGAATCATAAATTCATCAATTATGTAAAAATAAATACCGAAGAAACCTCCTTTTACGTGGGTTAGTATCAGTCACATCAAGAAGATGACCGACTCCTAGAGATTAAATTACGGTACTGTACATTTAAACGGACTCCGTTCGTGTCATATCCTTGAAAGCTTTACGAATTTATCGACATAAAAAAAAAGCTAGTCTAACATCAACTTTCCACCTCTTGCCCGTTGCTGAAGCAGCGTCAGTCTGTCCACGATTCTGGATCAAAAAATATGTTCTGCGAAATACACTACCGGTATAAGATTTTACGCATTTGAATTCTTGCATAGCAAGACTGAGATATTAAGGCATCGAAGGCGCCGATCAATTTACCGCGATAATTTTTCATCGATCACGGGAGCCCTGCAGGAATTACGCGCGTTTTATATTTTACACGCACGATTTTTGCTTAACTCTGTGGATATTAGTTTAATCAAAACCTATCGTCTTTCCATAAAAGTTGAGAAACGTCTTATTTTTTTCCTCCAAGAAATGTTCCAATGGTTATTTTTAAATTGGTTTTACGGAGGTGAGCTGGAAATTCTTGCCCAACTTTCACAATTGCGAAAAAGTAAAACTATGAACGGTGAGAAGCTGAAAATCAGACTCAATCCCTGTTTGGTTGGTGATTTCAATTATTTCACAAATAAAGCATACCAATTGTTCATGCGCTCAACATAAAAATTATATTTAAATGTCTCTCTAATATTCAAAATAATTTCGAACGCATTGTGATGCGCATGAACCCGTTCCACGTATGTGGTCAGTCGGTTGAAAAATATTCTGATGTCTTTGATTTTTCAAATACTGTATTGCATTTTTTCGCTTACTAAAAATGGGGTGCGTGTCTGACTCGGAGACGGGATATCATCAAAATTTCAGGCTGCACAATCCCAGTGAATTGTCACCCCATGTTGTCAACAAAAAAATTAATTTGTGAGCGTCTTATGTGGAGATGCCACTTTTTCCAGATTTTGAGCTGAACTAAAACTAAGGTGTGCGTCTTACGTGGGGATGGCATTTTTTCCTAAATTAGAGCTGAACAAAAACTAAGGAGCGCGTCTTACGTGGGGATGGAATTTTTCCAAAATTAGAGCTAGAAAAACAAAGGTGCGCGTCTTGCTTTAGGAATGGCCTTCTTCCAAAATTCGGGCTAAAAAAAATAATAAAGGGCGCGGCAAACTTCACGGCGCGTGATACTCGAGTAAATACGGTAAATTGTCACCGCATGCAGTATAAAAAATCGGTGGCAACTGAAAACTATGAGGTAAATCTTATGCAGGGATGACATTTTTTTCCAAAATTTAAGCTGAAAAAATCCCAAGATGCGCGCGTCCTAATACTCGATTGAATGCAGTATTTACTGGAAAGCCGTGACTCACCGATGGCCAGCGTGACTAGAGGCGGCGCCGCCGCCGGCCGGCGCGGGAGAAGGCGGCGAATTGAAGTCCAGCTGCGCGGCGAGGCCGATGTCGGCGATCGGGTCGAACAACTGGGACAGTCGAAGGCTGAGGGCGTAGGCCGCGTCGTCCGGCTCGCCGGCCACCGCTGCGTCGACGTGACGCGGCGGCTTTCTTTCCTCGTCACTCAGGTTCATCCCTGTTCAAGACTCGCGGCATTTCATGCTTCGCGACGCCCGCACTTTACAAATAAATCCCACACTCGAGTAGCGAACGCCGACCGAGGGCAGTCGTCTGACAAAAAAAAAAGAGCACGCCGACATCGATTGAGACAACGTGACAACACAGCCATTATTCGACACGGAGTGAACTCCGTTTTATCCTCGTTAATTATACATAATTCCCATGATGACCCGTTCGTCTGATGACCATGCAGTCTCATCGGACATCTGTCAATGAATAAATTAAATTAAAGATGTATTCCGATAACAAGATCTTTTCCGTCGAAATGTACGTTGAAAACACCACGGATGCTATTAATCCGCGATGGTGGCTGAATAAACGTTTTGTAACACTCGATGGCGACCAACATTTCGATGCGACGTGATCGCTTCGGACAACTCTGGAGTAAAAATTGCACCCAACACGCAATTTTTTTCTTCGCAATTTTCACCAAAATTTCAGTCACTGTGCTTCATGTAGAATAAGATGATCAGTTTCAGCGACGTTATGGATGAAATAATATCGAAAACAAGGTCAATCCGCCAAGGAATGATTAAGCACAACTATCACATTCCTGAATTTACTTTAAAATGTAAAAATATTGATGTTTTACGTCTTCCCGGGGACAGCGAAGAACATGATGGTGCAGAAAGTGACGGTCTTGATGTTCAACAGATACAGTTCAAATAAGCTACTGTATATGCATCCTTTTCCGAAAAAAATGCGTCTTCGACTTGCAAGCACAATTCCTTTCATTTTACATAAGGACATGTCTCAAAATACAGCGGGGGGCCCGAAATGCGGACATAATTGGTTCTCGGACTTCTTCCCCATGTCAGAACGTCCGCATGTGAGATCAAAGTTTCCCAGGCTTTTTAATGAGCACTTACTCAATTGGTAACCTGTTGGTCGAAAATTTGGAAAAAGCCCCCCGAAAAATTATTCGCCTTTCCCAAAAAACACGAAATAACTGCGCATAAGAATAACGCGAAGAATAAAATCGAAGATATCTCGAGGTTAAAAGGCCTTTTAAACGCATGTTTCCTTTGATGCATTTTTCGGGTCATTTCTGCCCTTCTGACATGAAAGGGAGTACAAGAAGCAAAAAAACGAGCACATGTCTTGTCATACTGTGCACAGATGATGGAAAAACCCCTAAAAACAGAAAAAAGTCACCCTGTTTCGGTTTATCAATTAAAGTCAGTTCATAATATTTATTCTTTATTTGTTTGAATACTATATACGGCAGCTCAACTTGTTCAAGAGATAATCAAGATTTTCCAAAAATATATCTGTTCCGTTTTCCTAGAAATGGCAATGTGTCCATATCTCAGGACACTGTCCAGACGTCAGACAAATGTATTAGGGTTTAAAGCGTCCTCAAGTCGAATCGTCCGTATTTCGTGGCGTCTGTGAGTCGGGTCCCCACTGCATTCGGGGTCTCCACGATGCAGGTGAATAATATAGTTCCTCAATACGGGTGTCCCTTAAAGTTCCCAAAATTTGAACACGATCAACGCATATTTTCGAAAATCCATCCCACTGCCACTATTCGCGCGTCGACGGGAAAATCACTTCACCCCGGAAGCCAACACGGTTGACTTTGGAGAACATCCAAACAAGTAATGAAACACCACGAGTGCTGGTGGAGAAGGTAAACAACTTCTTGACACATTAGCATGACTAGGTGTTGGATCGATGGGTCTCGCGGAAAGCGCTTTCTATGTTGACGTTACATCGCTCGAACTATGGCAGGGAAAGGCGCAATATTTATTCTGCTGATTTTTGTTTTCATCCGCGTATTCAAAAAGGCGGGGTTTGATTCACAGATCTAGAATCCGACTCTTATTACAAATACGCTGTACTGTACAGCAAAGTATTTCTACAGCGACGCCGTTGGGACTGAGAAAAACGCTTCGTTATGTACATTTGTTATGAAGCGATTTGAATAGCGTTTTAGCTATTCGACAGGGGCCTGAAAAACGAAGTCGTGGTGACGAGTAATGTAACCCGTTATGAGATTCTTTGCAACGAGATTCAATGGTATAAATCTGTGAGCCAGTTAGACAATCATAATAGGAAAAAATTGAGAGGACAGGTCGATAGCAAGTTAAATATACTTTTACGAGGTAGTTGGGTACGGTATATCGCACTAGGCAGCATTAAACAACGTCTCTTTTAAGCACTGCTTTTTCATGCAAAAGTCCGGAGGCTTGCGGAGAGGAGATGGTGATGCAGGTTGAGGCAGACAGAATCATAAAAAATGCAGGATCATCAGAAATGTCGTTCACAGTATTTGGTGAACTCAAATTTCAACATTTTCACCAAGATTAATCGATCGCACCTTACTCGAAAATGGGATTAAACTGTAAAATTTATTCACGTACATAAGACTGAAAGAGCTTTCCTGACGTTTCTCTCATGCCTCACTAAGGTAAAGAAAGACCTTGGGTAAACAAAAGTACAGCAGGACATTCTTCCTCTAGAATCCCATAAAATGCGAATTCATCAATTCCATTTTCTCAAAAAATTTAAAGCGACAAAAAATCGAATCCATGACAAGAAGTGTAATGCTGTACATTGGTCAGAAATGTTTCAGGAAGGACTGAAAAGTTATACTTTCACACCAGCATCACAATACATGCTACAAATTCTGATACTAGGCCAGAAGAAATGCAGACACAAGGCCTCATTGCATCCCTACCTCTGGGACGCTTTTAGATTGTCAAATTTCGAAACAGAAATTCTGTACAATACGTAATTGCGACGGGAACTCCATTCAGGGGAACACGGCGCAACGAAAAATTATTCAACTACAACACCGGAGTCGGAAAGCTCCACATTTCGCCATGATACGGAATTTCGGAAATTCGTGCGCTTCGCTTCAATGCTATCTTTGCTTCCGCCTCTATTTTCGGCGGAAGACTGATTTGAGGCTGTGCGAGAAAGCTTGCATCGGGAGCTACGGAATTAGAATTCTCAAACAAGGTCTATGTAAGAGGATGGACACACCTGGAAGGATCGTCCGTGGGGGATAGGTGGCTGCATTCATAAGTTTTCACGAGCCGCAAAAAAAGTGTGCTTTCAAAAATAGATGCCATACTGATTCACAGAGACTTACAAATGCTTTGAATTCGGTTCGCATACGAGACATTCGATGACGCGCGCCAAGGCTGAAAAACAGCCAAAAATTACCCAAGATCCATCATATTTAAGGCCGAGTTGCATGATGATCATTGCACTTATCGAGAGCAGTCATTAAAAGCTGGAATAAACAGCAGTCAGGTTTTCATCGTGCATGAAAAACCCCCAGACATCTCACGTCTGACAATTTAGTAATACACAATACTGTATAGGCTGTGCCATTTTCCAAGCAAAAAACATCGACAAAATAACGGCGAGTTGAAGATCTCGCCATAATTCAGTAAACGCCTTTCAGGGAGAAAAATTCGCAATGATGAGATTGATGTTCCTGGCGCATTTAGGATACTGTGCGAGGTTTTGAAAAACGGGTAATGCATGTAAAGATAGTGAAGAATACTTACCATTTTCAACTATAATATTTTCATGAATGGAAAATTTTACAGTGCAAAATTCAACCTTTCATTTTAAACCGTTCCTGCTTCAAATTCCCTGGAACTGTACTGATACAGTCCAAATCTTGAAGCCAAACTTCAAGGGACCGGCAAAAAAGTCGAGTTAGGGACTTTTTGAGTTTTGGAAACAAGCATTTTTGTGGGGGGGGGGGGGACAATGATTAAAGGGAATTGTAATTGGTGATATGATAAGCCTTGAATTGCTTCTTAAATGAGTTGAGAGGATGCTGAGCTTGGATGCAAGGGTTCATTCGCCCAATAAGTCTTTCACTTCCTTTCAAAACACATAAAGTTACATTTTCATTGCTTTTATCTTTCCTATGCCAATGAAATATTAGGCAAAAGGCCTCCAGAAAATTCGAGTTATGGAGGTTTTAGGTGGAAAGCCTTCAAATTAGAGAGGTGTTTCATGCATTGTTCCAAAGGAAATTCAGACAGGGACTTGAAAAAAATCGACGTAGGGGGGCATTCGATTTAGGAGGTTTGAGTTATATCGACGTATATATATCGACGAGGTATATCGACGTAGGAGGTTTGATTTATCGAGGTTCTGTATTATGCGAGAAATGTATACGAGGCCCAGTCGAATACTTTTCGGGGGAAACGTAAGCTTTTCCGAGTTATCGACGTCCAACTGTTTTTCTGAAATATGAACTGAAACAAAACATACATTTTTAATAAGAGCACTTATTATTTTTCAGCTGGATTTTCCTGGAAATAGAGCAGATTTCTTCCGAGCATACCGGACTGCTAAATTGCAAAAAATGAGCCATTCGCGAATTTGAAAATAACGCAATAGAGAAAGTCTGATGAGAACTTTGTACTTCGTGGTACAGTACTTTACTAAGTTTTAAGCACAGAAATATTAGCATTGCTGTTTTTACTATTTTCAATGCAAAAAAGTTGGATTTTCCCATATTTTTGCAATTTAGTGGAAATATCTGCAGCTCATGCAAAATAATCCAAGAAAAAATTCGATTCAACAGTAAAAATTGGCTCATTGACACGAACTTTTCATAACATGGTTCTCATGAAGAAACAGGAGGAACCAAGAAGAAGTCCATATAACTAACGATTCGATATAACGAGGCTTTTTGTAACGTACTTTTACTGTACTTCCCAAACATGCGGACTATTTCGAACGGCTTTAAATATAAGAATCAAAACGCAGAATATGGAGATGGGGTAAGGGCCACTTGGACGAAGAACCAAGATGAGCGACGCAATTCAAAAATATCCAAAAACGATCGTTTACCGAGCTTTTCCTCATGCACACTGATTCCAACTACAGTAATCCTATTTCGGACGGTTACTGCTATAATTTCGGCAATCTTCAGTCGGAATCCCAGAAAAATGCTCTCAATACCCCCTCGAATCGAAGCAAATACTCGTTCATGTAATGATGCGCAATCCAGTTGTGCACTTTTTATTCGCATGCCGGCGCTCTGTGAAAATATGAGTGCTGGCCATTTATTCAAAGCACGTCC